GAACTTTTTTCGACATCAGCGAAAATCAGGCTTCGAGGATTTGGGCTAAAGAACCGCCTCTTTCGTCCGCAATGAAATTTGCTTAGGAAAAACAAAAATCCTTTATTTCGTCTTCAGACATTACTTTCATCTCGCCGACCAGAATTCAGTACTTTATTAAGGATAAGATTTTGTCATCAAGCCGCCATTTTATCTTTGAAACCTGGAATGACATTATCATTATATCATTATCTGAAATTTGTTGTCTTGTGGGATGTTGCGCAGTGTCTACTGCCTTCATCATCAGGGCGATGAGGTAACCTCCTGTAAAACGTCGGTCAGTGTCTACCAGACTACACTTCGCAACATCCCAGCACACACCCGCCGCCTTGAGAATCTGAAACCTCGTGACCCTGGTCTCTTACAACAGATTTCGCCATTTCGCTGATGACAGAAATCCGATTCAACAGAACAGAAACCATTTTAGACATTCTGAACCTTCTGGGTTCACATGAGGTCAGCTGCTTCCATTTGAGTCTAGCTAAGCATCTGCAAATGATACTAATTCCTTTTAAGTCTGGCGTTACAGAACTCGAGATGCATAACCCAACATGAACTAAAGAATTCAAGAGGTCTGCACCTCCACTAAGTAAGTCCTCCGTGTCGCTAAGGTTGTTGGTGCCTTGGGGCTGAAAATACGCTAAGTTTCGCTTAATTAGTATGGCTTTTCGCTTTGCACAACCAAGGCCGGCTGATGCACGCCAACTCTTAACTCACTTCACTACCCGTTTCAATTACAAGTCAGAGCAAGTCTTCACATTCTGAGCAATGTGGATGGACTATTTTGTGAATTCGTTTAAGATGGTTAATAATACGACGTGAAGATGGTAGCACAAGTCAAGAAGAAGCAGCTACTGCCCAACAGATGGCAGAAGTAACAACACTGCCTGAGCAGGAACTGCGAAAAACGCGTTTTGATTTATCAGTTCTGTGCACTAATGAGAACATTTCTGCACTACGCACGAACCAAGATTAAAATATTTAAACTCTACGAAGAGTATGAAAAATGTTAATTAAATGCTAAGCAAGAAATGGAATATCTAAAAACACCCATTATGCATGTCGAAATACGTCCTTCGTTGTGCTAAAAACCAGAATAAATGTGTCAAACAAGAGAGTTTAAAACCACTAACTCCACGAAGCAGAGTCGTTAGTCAGAAACTGGTTTTAGGCTATCTAGCGAAGAGATTCCCCGCGTTTTACAGGACCCAAAAGTTCAGTAACGTATTCACAAAATCCTGACTGTGGAGGCTTTTCAGAGCCTCAAGAATCTCGTCTGCATCCCACAATCCTCCCATCCACTTCCTGGTCTACCACATGGTTTCTTTACTCAAGCAGTTCTGACTAAAATGTTGTATGAATTTATATTCAGTTCGTGCTACATGCCCTACCCATCCCTCCATGGCTTGATGCCCAGGTATCTGACACTGCCCGCAATGTAGCCCCTTTTAACTTTCAGAAGCTCCTGCTTTGCCGCACAAAAGAACGTTCCTGACCCCAGATTGTGCCCACACGACGTTACGAGCGCTCGTGCGCGCGCACCGCGTGCCATGACCCGCGACACGGCCTTCGTCACTTCCCATTGGCGTGACAGGCTTCGCGAATAACCTCTCTCAGAAAAATTTACAGTAACAGGAGGAGGCATAATTACCACGCGCTCGCTGACAATGACCCACATCGCAGACGTCCTCCGGTCGCAGAGCTCGTACACGCGTTTATAGACGATCGAACCAAAATCGTAGGAACCACAGAGAGGAGAGTGAAATCTATGGCTAAGATGCGGGAGACAACAAGGATGCATACAGAAATTTGGTGGGGAAACTTCTTGTAAAACATTTTGCTCCAACGTAAAGAGAGCTGCTCGTTTTCAAACCCTGAATGCATCTGATTCATAGCCAGCGAAACTGGGAGACAGACCTTGCCACACGTACGTGCATCTTTGTATCTTTCATCTGCATGAGATAATGGGGAAGTCCAGCCTAAGAGACCCGGTACAGTGTGTTAAGAAACTCAGGGCATTAAGCAGGCATTGGTCCTCTTCGTCTTTATCTGTTGTCTCAATTGGAACCAAGAACCAACATTTCAAAGTTCGACTTGAGTCCGCATTCGACCCACAAATTTTACTGTCGACTCTAACCACCAAATTTGATTAAGATCCGCTCATCAATTTTTGATTTACAAACGAAAGCACACCACCTATCACATACTCGTTAGTTTCGTTACGAAGGACATAGAAATACAGGGTGATTCCCAAAACTGTTCCTTAATTCACTTGCTCATTCCTTCGTCTTCGCACTTTAATCTTTGTTTGTCTCCATCTTTCATGTTCTCCCTCCATCGCTGCCTTTTCTTACTTCACTGAGCGCTCATGTCATTGTGTTATGTAAATAGTTGTTTTCGACTGACTTCTTTGAAACGTGAACTCGACGTTTCTCGTTTGGCTCCATCACGATTTGTAAAACCGGTCGCTCTGACTGCGATAAGCAAGCGGTGAGTGACGCACAGAATGCCATATCCTACGTACAATGAGAAATCAAACAACAAGCGATCGCTGGCGGAAGGCGAGGCACCGAGTTATAACAGCATTCAAATGTGGGTTTACTTTAGCGGGGCCTGTGTTCATATCACAGACAAAATTCTTTAAAATCCTTTAAAGTCTAATAAACAATTCCTCATTTTTGTATTTATGGGCTCTGTATGATTCTGAGAATAAACAGCGCGATTACCTCATTTAATAAATTAACCAACAGATCTTTGTAAAGGTGACGTCTTGTGTTTTCTTTGAGGTAAGAACTGAATTCTTTAGATGGGCTTTTGCTTCAAAGGATTAGTCGACAGACCTGATAATTTAAAGTGCAAATAAGACGAACTAGCTATTTTTTCCCGTTAAAGTTTGCAGTACGAATATTTAACCTGTCTGCTTCCATGCCTCATATAATAATTGTTACACAAACACACACAAAAGAGCAGTCCAAATTCCCAGGTAAGTACCTACCAGATATTACTGAATTTACAAAAGAGTGTCTTACGACTGTTGCAAACAACGAAGAATTTCGAATTCTTTACAGCCATCTTAAAGTTAAGTTAAGATTACTTTCGGGTAATGTTCTCTACTATTCAATTCAGAATATTTTAAATGTCCATCATCCAAAAAAATCCAGAAATTAAAATATATGAAATTTTAATTCTATTTATTTTTATATGGGTCTCAAATTTGGCCTCTGACCCCCAAGGGAATAACACAGAGTGTATGAATACAAAGTTATGAAAATAATACCTGGATCAAAGAAGGAGAACGTATTTGATATTAATATTATCGTCCCCTACGTCTGCGCTTGGTATCCAAAGCAATATCTTCCCTGCAGATTTCCCGACCAAACTTATGTGTGGATTCTCATCTCACACACGCGTGCTATTTTCTTCATCCATCTTATTTATCCTCCATAATTTAACACAAAATAACTGGCGAAATGAAAGTCTCGTATCTTCACTCCTTCCGACACCAGATGGAATCATGGCACTTCTCAAACAGCTGAATACCGACAAGCGAAAAGTTAAACAGTCTGAACGTTGATGCTAATTTATCTTTTTAGTGAGAGAGCGTTCATACTACGACCGATTATAAGCAAATCAGTCACAGGCACGAAGTAGTCAAATTTGTAACTGTACCCTGAGCCCACGTCTGCTGGATCTGCATGATTACTGAGCGTGTCATCATTGACTAAGGCCTTGATACGCGTATCACGTAAAACATGGGATGTCTGCCACACATTCGTCGGCAAGGTTGCTGGCCGAGAACCTATACTTTTTGATAATTAATTTGCAAACACCTGGTATAAACTTACTGGAGCATTAATTTGTCATTTTAAACGAACCAAGGAAACACGACAAGGACAAAACAAAAGCCTTCTGCGGCGATTAGTCCGGTAAAAAATGAAAGACGTTTCAGACACGATCTTGTCGCCCTGATGATGAAGGCAGTATACACATCTGAAACGTCGGTCAGTTTCTACCAAACTACACGACGTAACAACCACAGAGACAGACATCAACAATTTGACGAGTTAAAATAATTTTTTGAAAGACGAGCTGTTATGTTTAAATTAAGGAATTTTAAATCAACGAATAAGTATTAGAAACTTTTGTGTTGGTAGATTTGTTATACCAAACAAACTGGCATATGAAGATGGAAAAATAATTTAGTGAGTATATAGGGGGAATATTAAAAATACACTACATAAAAATTAATTTTTGCGTAAGTCCGAATAAGCATCGAAAATATATTAAACACAACACGAAATTTTCATGATCATAGGCCAACTATGGCGAAGATCGACACAACTTGTAGTAGGAAGGCCAAAGGAACACAGAGAGGTCAAGTCTGCAACTGTAATTTCCGGTGACGTTATGAATCTGGTTTCATTTGCACAATTCCTTGACAGCTTTCTTTTCATTGTCAATAATACTGAAGGCCGTGCAGAATTTTGCGAATGACATAACTCGATGTCTTGTAACAGGGCACCGCGTTCCACCTGAAGGAGGGATTTAGAACTCGCACTTCGGATTATTAAAGACTCGCAGACTAGTTTAGTTAAACACTCTGAGTATTACGAAGAAACAATGGTTCATCCAGTATAGAGACACTATGTTGGGGATTGTCCAGTGTCTGAGGCATATTTCATACACACGACAGTCGGTTGAGCTCCCTTCTTCAGGCGAGCACTTTAACTTCCCACCTCCTATCCAAGAACCTAGAAATTCAAATATAAAAAACTGCAACTCCGTGTGTTTTATACGAGTGTGAAAAGCCATAAAACTACGTTCTTCCATCCGGGCGTATGACTGAGTTTCATGCCCATACAAAAAAAAGCAGACATGCTTACAGTTTTATGTATTTTAATTCATAGGTTTACAGATAAAATACATTAAGAGATAAGTGATTCTGTGATGAATGGTAGCAAACATTCCCGATCTAAATATGTTTATTTCTATGAAATATATTTATTTTTGTTTGTCGAATGATTATTAGTTGTCGTGGACTCTGGTGGTGAAAAGTGTTAATTAATTGCGATAGCTGGCAACACACTCGCGCGAAGAACGAGCCCCTTGCGTTTAGACAATCGCATGTACCCCAACCAAAATTCACGACTATTCGAGCGTCGATCACAGCACAGCAAAGCGCCAGCTTCTTTCCCGAACGACAAACTGTCTTCTGCACGCCAGCGCAGATCGTTCGTTCTTTGTTAGTGCAGGACCCAGATATCAAGCGCTCACATGTTCGGCCCAAGGATGAAGCAACAGGCAGGCCGACCCACTTATCGTACGTTTGCTCCGTATCATTACATCAAGTAGTCTGCGGTGTGTGCAGATCCAATTGAGAGGAGAATGTTTTTATACAGCTTCTGAAAGAAAGTGAAGGCGGGGCGGCGGCGACACGATCTTCAGTTGTTTTTTCCTGCACCAGTGCCTCTTGTACGGAAGGTGCAAGTAGACTCATGCTGTGGATATCGCTAGTTGTCATGCTCAGTGCTCTGAGAAGCCGCCATGTCGGTGTGGGAGGCAACACGCTTCGCAACAGTGAGTATCACCTCTCGTCCGTCACACACCAACAGCTAATCGGGTCAAATTCTTTAACCCCTCGGTGGTAACTGTGCGCCACCTGCAGGATTACGTTTATCGGTTCACTACTGGAAGAAGTGAGTGTTTTCCAGTTGATCTTCGTGATGGTGAAGTGTTGTGTTTTCTTCGCGGTACGGATTAAATTCTTAAATATTATTCTGGAGAGCTTTGGCTTCGAGGCGTTGTAAAAGCGTGGCCTGGATCCCAAATGGCTCAGGATAGTTTGATACCAGTGGGGAGTGAAGTCAAGATCAGGCCTAAGCCTTCGCCTGAACCTGTTTCCTATATCTGAAACCTGATGATGGTTGTACAGATAAAATACATTAAGAGATAAGTGATTCTGTGATGAATGGTAGCAAACATTCCCGATCTAAATATGTTTATTTCTATGAAATATATTTATTTTTGTTTGTCGAATGATTATTAGTTGTCGTGGACTCTGGTGGTGAAAAGTGTTAATTAATTGCGATAGCTGGCAACACACTCGCGCGAAGAACGAGCCCCTTGCGTTTAGACAATCGCATGTACCCCAACCAAAATTCACGACTATTCGAGCGTCGATCACAGCACAGCAAAGCGCCAGCTTCTTTCCCGAACGACAAACTGTCTTCTGCACGCCAGCGCAGATCGTTCGTTCTTTGTTAGTGCAGGACCCAGATATCAAGCGCTCACATGTTCGGCCCAAGGATGAAGCAACAGGCAGGCCGACCCACTTATCGTACGTTTGCTCCGTATCATTACATCAAGTAGTCTGCGGTGTGTGCAGATCCAATTGAGAGGAGAATGTTTTTATACAGCTTCTGAAAGAAAGTGAAGGCGGGGCGGCGGCGACACGATCTTCAGTTGTTTTTTCCTGCACCAGTGCCTCTTGTACGGAAGGTGCAAGTAGACTCATGCTGTGGATATCGCTAGTTGTCATGCTCAGTGCTCTGAGAAGCCGCCATGTCGGTGTGGGAGGCAACACGCTTCGCAACAGTGAGTATCACCTCTCGTCCGTCACACACCAACAGCTAATCGGGTCAAATTCTTTAACCCCTCGGTGGTAACTGTGCGCCACCTGCAGGATTACGTTTATCGGTTCACTACTGGAAGAAGTGAGTGTTTTCCAGTTGATCTTCGTGATGGTGAAGTGTTGTGTTTTCTTCGCGGTACGGATTAAATTCTTAAATATTATTCTGGAGAGCTTTGGCTTCGAGGCGTTGTAAAAGCGTGGCCTGGATCCCAAATGGCTCAGGATAGTTTGATACCAGTGGGGAGTGAAGTCAAGATCAGGCCTAAGCCTTCGCCTGAACCTGTTTCCTATATCTGAAACCTGATGATGGTTGCAGCAAGGCCTCTGAAACGTCGGTAAACTTCTGCCAGACTACACGGCGCTACAATCCACCGACCACCGCCGCGGAAACCTTATTCTTTTTTATCGTTGTTATTAATTCGTCGACACTTGGTCCATGAGCCCGCATTTCCATCATCAGTGTTTCTAAATACTGTTAATCCACAAGGCCAATAAGAACAATCATTGTTTAGTGCACTGTCAGCGAGCGTACAAGGCCAGTCCGTCAGCTGCTTCTACCACTAACGCAATTAGCAGGAACATTGACATCTCCAACAAGGACTGTTCTTCCCTCGCGGCATTTTTCACTTTTTAATCACTGATTATTCGCTGTGTAATTTATGTTCACACTTTTTATGTCCTATTTTCTTGTTATTCTTCTTATTGTTTTCGTGGCAACTGTAGTTTGTCTGCGTTTTTCTTGTCGCCTCTCAGCAAATCCACGCTGTACCTTCCTCGGTCTCGTCAGACGCCTAAAAAGTTACTTCAACAGAGTCACTTACAACAACCGACGCTTTGCATTCGTTTCTGGACGCATCTAGAGAACCGATGAACTGATTCGGAAATCTTGACGCTAATTTGAAACTACCAAACCGCACAGATGCGGGAGGGTGAGTTCGTTGCAAGGAGACTTCAACAAGCGGGTAGAAAGCGAACATCGGACAAAGCGACAATGACGATTCTGTTGTGAAGGGTAGGAACACATGACGGATGGGTTCTACGATTTGCATGTCTTGTCTGCAGGTTAAACAATGATTTGATTTCATTCCACTCCAAAATTCAGTAAGATAATTTCCACGGCTGTTTTTTGAACAGACACGAAGTGAGGTCTCTTACTCCGAGGGAGTTTATTTAAGCCTCCAATTGTGGCTTCTAATATTTTAAATACGTCGTATTTTCCGATGATTTATTAGTGTTATTGTATTTTAAGTCTGGTGATAAGAAGTGAACGTGTATGCACGTTTCTCTTTGTTTACTGAGACCAATCCCCTTTTTGCGTGTAACAGCAAGTTTTATTGTGTGCAAACTGCCTGTGTCCAACATGTGAATGTAACAGTTCCTCGCAATCATTTGACATCAATCTTAGCATTATTCATAAGAGTTTCAAATCTCCTTGTCCTGGAGAAGAAAGGGGGGCGGTATGGTAATTTCGCTTCTCCAGGAACAATGCTGACCGCAGCGGCTGGGAAGGTCTTTATGTTTTAAATGGAGTTGTGAACTGCCTACTGATGACAATCTACACCTCCAACGTCACTACAGCAGAATTTCACTGGCATTACAAGTTACCATAGAACCCACCATTACACTGAGACTCAGCCCTGAAGATGAAGGCAGTATGCTCCTCCGAAACGTTGCTATCTACCTACAAGTCCACATGGTGTTAGAACTCAGAAGATGAACATCAACCTCGAAACCCATAAAACATCTGACATTTTAAATTTCAGATACTCTTCAAAGGACCGGTTGTTACATCCGTCTAGAGACACCCGAGGGATTCTTGGATTCTCCGAGTTATCCTGACAGTTATCCTCCAGGATTTGACTGTTGCTACGATATAGCAAGATTGTCATCCCATCACTGTGGAGTGAAATTTTACGGTACGTATAATGAATCCACGGGTGGCTGTGGCTTATAGCAGGGCTGCTTTTTTATTTTGAAACATAAGAATCATTTTATGAAAATGAAATAGGAATAAATCAAACTTCTGACTGAATCACTTCCGTTAGAATCCTGACTGTGTTTTCTGTTCAAACTTCAAACACGGCAAGCTAACGCACATGTTCTATTCACCAGCGGAACAGCTGACAATTGTGAAAACACCCGAAGATGGTGATTTCTGCCAAACAGATTGGCTGTCTGTGGACTCGTGTGTCCCAGAAGGGGGGAGCAGATTCTGTGGCAATCTCACTGGGTCTGCATGTGAGTATACATGTTTCATCAAGGTGACGTAGCATTTCTCCTACTAATACTTCTACAGAATCAGAAAGTCTTTAACATTAAGCCCAAGATTCCACACTATTTGAAAAGATGTGGACAGACAGTAATGCCCAAAGTATTATTTTTTTAAGAACACCTTCAGATGAGATTCTCATACAAAATCACCAAATTCCACCAGGCTTTAGGCCTTCATACTTTCAATAAATTAACACAAAATGCCCATCCATAAAACTGCTCATAGCAGAGCCAACTCCTCAAACGCCGTGTTCGTCACTTACGCCTCAAACAGTGGACAATGCCCAACATATTCTGTTAGTGATATTTCTCTTGATTTTTGTTATGTACTGTCTTGAGAAAACCCTGTAATTGTTGCAGTTCAGTACTTGTTTCAACCAGGTTCCAGAGCACTTCGCCTCATCTTTCACAGTTCGCAGCAAAATCCGGAGGACCGACCTGATCCAAGCGTTAAATATCGATATCGATTAAGGTATCAGATCTTGAATGATTGTGGGGGTCTCTTCCAAGAACCCGCTGTCTCCGACATCCCCGGAGAAGAGGGCATGACCTGCTACACCCGGATTCCTGACAAGCGCGGATCAATCCACACTCCCTTCTACCCTGAATATTATTCGCACAACCTAGACTGTGTCTATGAATTTATCAGGCAAGTATTAAAGCAACTTCTATCACAAACTCCCAAAAATATTAGGAATTACTTTCAAATAACACTGACAACCGTGCACAAAGATCTTCAAAGTATTTAATCTTTATCTTCCTTGAACCGTATCTCATGAATATTTTGTTAACTGTTCATAACATGAACATTTAAGTCAGATACACCCTCCTCCAGAATATTACAAAATGCAAAACAACAATATTCTAACTGCTCACAGCAGACTTGGTCATTTGAGATCAATTTTGTTAAGAAACAGAAATACGCTATATAAAATGAAAAAGCAGCAAAGTTAGTAACTCACAGTTGTCGCACTGCATGTAATCTGTCGCAGACCAAATCCTTTCATCTGTGGAATACGGATGCGTTCGGTGGAGTTCCAGCTTGAGCCATCAACGTCGACTCCGTTCGGAGGCGCCTGCGCAGACTATCTACAGGCACCGGGTTGTGGCTTTCTGTGCGGATTCATGAACTTCTCTTGTAGGTTCATTAATTTAACTGGAAACCTGAACAGAAATGCATAAAAAATGTGTACATGTCCTGAATGTTCTCATATGATAAAAATAAGTATTAATAATTTTATACCTAAAATTATTCAGCTAAATAATGAGACATGCACATGGGCACATTCTTCGCCATTCACGCAAATACACTTAAAACTCTTAGATCCAAACGCTCTTCAATTTGTGCTCTCCCCTTAACATGAGAGGCCAAGTTTCATGTACAATTGCAACTTTTTTTACATTTTAATCTTTACAGTTTTCGATAGCAGATACTGAACTTTGTGGTACTAGGCATTCCGTGAACTTAATATGCTCAACTGTATGTGGTAACAGATTCTTGGTTAAATTAGACAAATGGTTGACTTCAGTTCCACCGTGTTCTATTCCACTCTTCATCACATAACACAACATTTTTGTGTCTAGGGACAGCCGTGTATCAACCTGGTGCCACAGGTCAGAGATTTCACTTCCACTCTGATGAAGCCAACAGTCATCAGGGATTTCTCATTGCATTTGAACAAGTTTACCATTGCTGATATAGGAGGATGGAGACATCAGTATCACAAACAGCAACAACTGTTATATACTGCCAAGTAAAAGTATGAGTAACCTGTATATACTTCAGTTAAATTATTGTTTCACAAATGGGGCTCTGTGAGCAGACATTAAACATTCTCTCTTTTTAGATAGATAAAGCCTGGAGATCGTACATAACTGAACCATACAAAACACAAATAGAGGCATCAAAAGTAAACAATCAGTTCTGGGAAGAACTTGTGACAACTACAATCCCTCAAAGGCTTCATTCTATGTGAAATTTATAATTACAACACTTCCTGATCCATATCTGAGCATACTTTTCACTACCACAGACTGTTACTATGTTAAATGTGCCTGACATAACCTAAAAGTTTTACCACCACAATTGTAATTAACGAAGAAAAAGGTATTTTATGCAGAATTTATAGGTATTTTTATGATGTAGCTCCATAAAAAATCATATACATATCTCCAATGGTCCATTACTTACTGCTGTTAAACCAAAAGCTAATTATATATTTATTATATTTATTCAATGATGCTGCCATTAGCTCAGATAATATAGCATCGAATGATAGAATGATAAAAAGGAAGCAGACATGTCGTAATTTAAGGTACTATCTTGGTATTTCTTTCGAGGGGCTGTGAAAAACTGCAAAAAAAAAAAAAACCTCAGCCAGAAAAGCTGTCTCTAGATTGAGATTCAACATCGGGAGCCC